TATGAAAGGCTTCAAGTACATGCAAAATTTTAAAAAAAAAAAAAGCTAATTTTTTTTAAAAAAATTATTACTAATAGTTAAAATTGTGAAAGAAATGAATAAAATTAAAATAAAAAATAATAATCTTGCTACAAAGGAATTTATTTTTCTTGATTTTCAAAGACATATTATTTAATTATTAGATTTTCCATATTGCAACATAATTTTGTTTTACAGAAAGATAATCAGATGCAGAATAAAGTGTTTGACAATTTATGAGATGCATGTGATTTTCAACTCACCGTGAACCTTGTCGTGCCCTAGAGAAAAGTGAAGAACCACGACCTTTTGTATCCGGCCTGCTTTCTCATGACGTGGAACTCTCGTCACCACCGTAACATAATTAACAACAGGTAAACATGCATTTCTTCATGTATGCTCTTAAAATAAACTAGATAAACTGGCTTTTTAATTAACAGAACTTGGGTAAAAAAAAAAACCCAGAGAGAATTAGAAGAAACACACGCAGAGTACTAATTAAGAATCTTATTTCCATTTGTAGATTTATTACATTATTTTTTACCTAAGAAAAATAATTTTAGACACAATTGTATATTATAATATTTTATAATAAATTAAAACTCTCTACATGACATTTACTTCCAAAAAAATCCATATTTTCTGTACGATTTCTATGTACCGTATAAGCAGGATTTTTAGCGTGGATTTAATTTTGGCATTATAAGCGAGGGTTCTGAGATCGCTGATTTGAATGTATTCCCTATCGGTTGTTATTGCTATCTCTCTTAACATTATAAAATCACTAAATTTACTTCTCGCTAAGAATATATGCATTTTTTTGGGATAAAACGATGAATTTTCGTCTCGTTAAAATTTCCACTTATACGGTATTAATACATAATACATGTACCTAATATTCTGGAAAGAGCGCAAAATATGATATTTAGTATTTAAATAATGCATTGGTAAAACTATACTCGGCAATCATCTATCGTTTTTCAGTTCTTCAGATCGAGGGCTTTATTTTCGAAACTACATATAACAACTAGGGGAACTGTGAGATGGGTACCCAAGAAATGAGTATCAGTAACATAATAACTTACGACTTTTCAACTCTGTCTACAACCATTCCCCACGATAAATTAAAGTCCAGGCTTGTTGACATCATTGACAGCTGCTTTTTCAATAAAAATGGAACTCGTAAATTTGCTTACCTTGTCATTAATCATTCGCAAAATTATTTTGTTAAAAACATTCTGATTGTACATACAAGTACTCTGAAACTGATATTAAAAAGATGCTTAAGATTCTGATTGACAATATCTATGTGATTTTTGGAGATAAGGTCTTTCAGCAATCTGTTGGAATTTCCATGGGTACCAATTACGCCCCTTTGTTAGCAGACCTATTTTTGTATTCATATGAAGCAGAATTTATTCTTTTACATGAGAAAAAGAAATCTCTTGCTGTCGCCTTCAACATTTAGATATATCGACGACGTATTATCAATTAACAATAGTTATTCATTTGTCGATACGATATATCCCAGAAAAAGACGTTAATGGTAATCTAACAACAAAGCTCTATAATAAACGTGATGACTTAAACTTTTCAATGTCAACTTCCCTTATTTATGCATCAATATGCTCTAATCACCTGCATATGGGGTGTATATCTCTCAGTTAATTCGATACGCAAGAGCATGCTCTACGTATGAACAATTTCTTAAACGAGGTAAGTTTATTGACAAACAAGTTGATGAAACAAGAATATCAACAGTCTCGTTTAAAGTCATCATTTCGTAAGTTCTGTGGTCGATCCAATGACCTTGTCCGCAAATACAATCTATCATTAAGTCATATGCTGACTGACGTTTTTCATACTAACTGTTAGGACATTATTTACACATTGAATTGTCTATGGATTTTTCCGTTTTTTACCGATCATGACTAGGAGCACACGGCGGGTGTGACCGTTCGGCAGAGGATGCTCACTCCTCCATGGCACCTGATCCCAAATCTGTTTTTGGAGGTCCGTGTTTGCTCTGCTCCCGATTTGTATTGTTTTATTGGACTTTGAGCTCGAATACTGTTCGTTATCTCCATATTTCACTCAATACTATTGAAAAATGGCAGTGTCTATGTTTTGCTACTAGAAACCCGTAATATGTGCCCGATCAGAAAGTAAAATAGGAGGTGCACAATGACACTATGTTACAAAGATTCTGTGAAAGTATCATTAAATTTTGTGCAGTTGTATAAGAGGCGTTGCGGATAAGAGATGTATTCTTCAAAGCGTAACAGAGATGTGCAGACAGAAGGACGGGCGGATGGACGGACACCTCACTATACACCCCCCTCTTTTCAAGCGGGGGTTTAATAAAAGAATCAAGTGTCTTTTCACACATCCTTATCCAATAAATAAAGACATTTGCAAAATATAGCGCGTAGAGGTAAAAAGGTCTTTCTAAGTTGATGTCTGTGAACATAAGAAGACATTTCACAACACATACCGGTACATTTTGTTGTAAATTGTGAACGAGGCTCATTACTCCAGCTTGCAATTTTTTTGTTTACTTCGGAACGGAATCTTTTTGTATCATTAATCAGGCCCATAGGAACTAGAGGCAGTTTAAGGAAAGGAAGGCATGGGGGCCTATCCCAAATAATTTGCCAGAAAATACATGTACTTTACAATAGAAAACAATCCTAATTTACAGTTAAAACAGATATGCTATAATAGAAAACATAGCTTATTTAAGGTTGTGCCCTGTCTAAAACTGAAAAATTCTGCTGATGATATCTTTTTAGCTTGTCAATAATTTCAGTTAGGTAGCCCCCCCCCCTCCCCCTTTCCTCTCCAAGTGAAATTGCCTCTTACGGGCCTGTCAATTTTATAAATTGTACTTTTAAATGAAATTTATTTATGTGTAAAAAAAAAAGGTAGGCCAACATCGAAAGTATTTGTAAGAAAAAATGTGTAATTGTGATTTAAAGAAATGATCTCAAAAATAACTTTTATTCGAACATAAATATACTAATAGTTCGTTTCAAAAGATAATTAATTTTGGAAATGCCCCATGTTTTAATAAAATATGGTTAAGTAATGTCCTTGACATACATTACTCAAATCTTGGAAATGGCAAATTTTGTGACCTTATTTTCTGTGGTATAAAGTTTAAATGAACATGACATATGTATGGTATGAAATGTTTTTTTTATAAAAATTTGTTGTTTACTTGATTCGTAGTATGTAAATGCATTAAATATCAACTTGAACATAGTTTGCTTTAAATTGTTAATTTTTAATGCGTCATTCAAAATTAAAATGATTTGTTTTGATTAAAAAAAATATACAGAGTACATGTCCTTTGAAAATAAAAAGAATTATACCCTTTCTTTTGTTTTGATATTACTTACTCTTACACCAAATTATCCTAGCAATGCTTCTGAATTTCATTCAGATCCTCGGTGAATGTATACGGAGCATTTTTTCTCTCTTCTTGTTGTGAAATTTAATTTGATATGCCACTTATTGCATGAACCTTTGATAAAATTATAACTAATTTTCATCTTCTCTGTAACTTGTTAATTTTGCAGAGCATACCGGTACTCATAGTGTATTTCGTGAAAATATTCTATTTGCACTTTTAAAATTAACTGATTAATTAATTTGCTTTTCTGCGTCAAAGGACATCTCCGTCAACTCTTGATATTGTTTATGAACATTCTTGGCAATTTGCGTTTTTGTTTACTTAATTGTTTTAATGTAATTTTTCCTTCTATGCAAATGAGATTTTTTCTCGATATTAAAATTTATATCAATTAGATGAAAGCAAGGAATGCTAATCAACGTCATAAGGAGATATTTTAAAGAAATGTTTAGCATCTCTTTCTGAAATAGGTCAGTATTTGAAACTCAAATAAATCTAATAATAACATTTTTACGTCATTACATGACCTTTGACATTTCTTGGCCATGCCTGTCATATAAAAATTATTGTTACCACAAATCAGGGTTTCTCTCACATGGTCTGGTACATGTGCAACCTTGCACATCATGTATCCAGAAAGGTCAAATCAGGATAAATTAATGGAAATAAAGAAAATTTATGTATAAAGTTTGTTTGATTGCATGTCTGGATATATAATTTTTGTTACTTTCTGTAAAGTTAAAAATTACCTATAGAAAGATAAGATCTTCAATTTGACAATGCAAAGGAAGTGTCATTTCAAACAAGTATCTATGATAAATACAAATGTGCACTTAATATGTTTATAAGGAAGAGTCAATATCAGAAACAGAAGTGTCTGGGAGATATAAATCAAGCCGTATTAGTGTAGAATGCTGTTTAAAAAATCATTTATAATCTTATTGATTCATTAAACCTTTCACCGGATATTAAAAACTCAAGATGCTTTATGATAATTTAAAATCTTATTCACATGTTCAAGGAAACATGATTTCTGAAAGAAACCTCAGACATCCCTTTCAAACATATTTTGGTAAAACTTTCAAACTCTTTGTTTCTTTTACACTTTAAAGCTTAAAGAAAAAAAATCTTCCATTTCATCAATCTCTTCATATGCAATTTTTCATCAATCCTGATGTCAATATTTTACAATTTTATGAGAAAAGATGATAATGAATGTTCAAATTGACTTTGAATTCACATGTCGTATAGCTGTTGCTGATGTAACAGTTCTGTCCTTGATTTCAAAGAACACATGTTCGTATATTTACATTCAGATACTGTTGTTATTTGAAAGTTCGTTGTAAATATTTGAAAATGAACAATATGCTGTAAACAACATAAGTGGTATTCCGTATGGAGATTTGAACACAGTGTATGACCGATAATTTGATATAATTATCCTCGGGGTAATCATCTGTTAGTTTGGTATTCTCCCAGTGAACGCGTGATGCTCATCTCAGAAGCCTGATATCAAAGTAATTACTTAAATTTAATAAATATTGATTGACTTATCACGCAGTTTGTACGATATAAACCGGAATCTGGACCGGTCAGATTTATTTCAAGTGGATGTGATTACCGAAACATGGACTTGTTTGACAGAGTTTTGTTTGGTGGAATTTTGTTGGTTTTTATCACTACCGTTAAAGGTAAGGGAGATGGCTAACTCCATATTGCTATATAATCTTTTACTATTTCATTCATACCAAGATTTCAAATAGACCAAATAAAATATCACAATGATATTATAATGATTCGAAACTTACTTTTTGTATTTTTGTGCTGCATTATGGGTAATTGTGATTCATTGGTGGAAAGAGAAGAGAGATAGTAGAACGTGTACATATATCTTAAATTTATCAATCGTAAAATATTATTTAAAAACATTAGTATCAATTTGTCATCTAAACAAAAGATAGATGTATAACATATACACAATCCACGAAATAGGGCTATGTAACTCATCATATATACAATGTACTTTACAATGGAAATGCCTCTATGAAATATTTTTCTTTTTATCAGGAACCTGCTCATTTTCACGTAACTTGGAAGGTGAGTGGACGATTGAGAAGGATGGACAATTGTTGGGACGAATGGTAATAGGCTACACACGAATGGATATAACGTATATGGGTCAGGTATACAATTATACCTGCGCTCAGTTTGACTATCAGCAGGAAAAATACCTACTGAGGTAAAGTATATCATAATTCTTTACTTTCGCCAAAATTTACAGAACACATTAATATATGTTTGCATAAGACATCAAAAGATTTAGTTCAAATAATTTTCAGTCTGCCATTTTCACCCAGATACATCGTGAATGATCTAGAAAAAGTCAATAACTTTAACAAAACATATGATGAGAGTTTTAGACCGACATTTTGGTGCACATATACATGTACAAAAGAACGGTGCTTTTAATTACTATCTAATGAGTATGACCTCTGGAATTCAATGATTGTCAAAGAGTATCAAGTAAGAGCCTCCTTCCCCTCCATATTTTTTTCATTTTCATTGGATTAAGAGCAATCAGAGAGAATTTAATGATATAAAGGTGTTTACCTTTTCATCGTGTCTTTCATGATTTCTTCCATATATCTTAAATATGCAAGGTGTTCCAAAGTCAGTTGCTTCAGAAATATGTACATCAAAGTTCTTTGAATGTGCCAAAGCAATAAAAGCAAATATATGCAAAAAATAACCAAAATTTTCATTCACAAGATCAAGTGTTGTTGTTTGGAAATATCTAATTTCCATATCTCTTATGTTAAGAAAAGCTTACAAAATGGGCGGTTTTGGTTGTAATTTTTATTTGAGTTGATTGTTTCTGTTGTTGTATACAGAAGTGCAAGTGATGCAAAAGGAATGGCCTGTCTGATGTTTACTCCCTTTGATTCTGCAGACACCTTAATGATGATTAGGCTTCACAGTAAGTCAACTTTAAATCTTATCAAATAACATATTATCAGATAATTATCTAATAACTATCAGATAATTGATACATTATTTCCAAGCAGTATAAAACTAAATGGAATATTTGCAGAGAAAAAAAAAAGTTTTGACCATTGACTTTTTTAACAATTAAACTCTGATCAATTTCTTTGTTTTAACAGTGACCCACTTATACGATGACAGTGCGTTCTTTACACCCCAGTATCTAGTAGGTTCCGGGACCATTAATTCCATCTGTAACAACTATGACGACGGACAGATCCTCTTTATTAATTATGTTCGTTGAGTGGTTGAAAAAAAAATTATAAGTGCGTTCAAATGCAGGTTTCTGAATGTTTATCAAATGCAACATATATATATATATATATATATATATATATATATATATATATATATATATATATATATATATATATATATATATATATATATATATATGTATGTAAGTATGTATGTATGTAATTTCTTTACCTTAAAAATACATAATATGTACGATACAAGTTCCGTGAAAAAAAGGACACGTTTGATAGCACGTTTGAAGATTGGGCTTGACATATGTCTTGACATAGTCAAGTGTTTTCTTTTGATGTTTACTGTATAAAAACAGCAACAGAGCACATTTTAAAAGAATGTTTCATGTAAAAAGCATCAGAGTTTTTAACAGGTAACTGTAGTGTATGGTCCATATAGACTATTATTACTGATGTAAAAGAAAAACAAAACAAAAAGAAAACAAGACGAAGTTCTATTTGTATTAAAAGTACGCTACCTAGTAAATTAATTATTTCACAGTGTAAATGGCAATTGCTTAGAAAGAAACAACAGAATGGTATTTAGGTTTATGAGCCAATTTAACTTTTTTGATAATGTTTTAATTAAAAAAAAAAACACTTGTTGGTATTCAGAGCGCCACTCCTAAGTGTTTTACTTTAATCTAATATAGCAGATTCTTTATTGAATTAATTACAATGTCCTGTTGCACATGCAACGCGAAGAAATAATAGATATTTTACACAAATCTTAAAACGAAAATGTCTGAAAATGTGATAAAGTCACATCTATAGACTGTTTAGACAAATTGCTTAAATTACTGATATACGTTTAAAATGCAATTTTTATTAATGGATGTGACTTTCGCCAATATTTATTATTTAGCAAAACATTAAACATACTCCTCATTAAGAAAGCACTGTATATTTTTCTATTATTTCTAAAATTGTAATCTACATTTATATAGTACGTTGTAATATTTTTAGAATGTTATCAGTACAAACCTTTTTTGGGTCTCGGTCATTCGTGTTCCAGTATGTGTGTCGAGTTGAAGTCAATTTAATTAAATTGTTTTAATTATGAAGGAAATTAAGGATTCAATATCAATTTGAAAATTTAATCTTTGCATAATCAGTGAATATATTATTGCTATTAATATTGGAAATATGAGGGGTCCATAAACTTTCTATATATCATATATTTCAATATTAAAAACTTAGTACTTTCGCTTAAAGTATATTCAGCATTTTTTTTTTTTACAGTAAATCATTCTTTCATATCTGAAGGTCGAATACATATACGCTGTATATTATTGAATCATATACTTTTCTCTTTTGTCTCCCCCCAAAAATTCAACATCGTAATAGAGTTATCGCTCATTGTAAAATTTTGATTTCTTATCTTTTGCTGGACTTATCTTGTATCCTACAGTCAAATTAAATATATATGTATGTATGATATACCATTAGATTAGGTTAATCTTGTATCCTACAGTCAAATCAAATATAAATGTATGTAAGATATACCAATAGATTAGATGTGATAATGAATAAATTATTTAATCAATGCATCACATTGTTTAGTTGCTTTAAAATTCTATTGATTATTGAACATCCGATTACCAAACAAGGCTGTCTCATTAAATTAATTGAAAACAATTCAATAAATAAGAAATATTAATGGAATTATACTAGGAAATGAATATTTAACAAGCGTTTTAATAACATTTATTTTTTCCCCTCCCCTGAAAAGAAAATATGTAAAAGAAAAACCAAACTCTTGTGCACGCTGTGACTTTAAAATATGTTCAAAGAAAAATGAATTGAATGTATGTATCATATACATACATTCAATATACATACTCAAAATTGAACTAGATGCACTATATCCTATAAAACACTATTATATACAATAGAATAATATTCAAATCGTCATTTTTTGTTTTTTTACATTTTAGCTTAAAATCAGCATATTTTCTCGAAAATTCAAATATCAAAGATTTTTAAAGCTTGTTACCATTGATGTGAAAAACGAAATTTATAATATCGAGAAAAGCAAACCATATCGGCAGGGATTTAACAGACTATTTTGGGAAACGCCATTTTTATTAAAATTGGGGAAAATTCTTCGACAATTTGATAAAATTGGGAAAAAAGGAAATAGGGAATACTTCAAACTTTTAAAATTACAACTTTAACCCCCTCTTTTTTTACCCACTTTGAAAACACTTTGTATGCCCCTAAAAAATAAAATTATGTATATTATGTACTGAACTACCATTTTAGATCTCACTAGAGAAAAAATCCAAGAGCATCACAGTAAATGATTTTTTTTGTGTTTTTGAGTTAAATGTTTGAACATTAAATTTTATAAAAACTCATTACATTCATGATCGATATTTAATACACTCATGATTGATTAAAAAACATATTTGGGCTATATATATATATATATATATATATATATATATATATATATATATATATATATATATATATATATATATATATATATATATATATATATATATATATATATATATATATATTGATATACAGGACTCCTAAAATTCATAAAAATCCTTACTTAGATACATTTCAGGGTCCAGCTAATGCTCTACCAAGCTTTTATCTTTACCCTTCGCAAAATTATTGACTGCTGTAAAGGCGAAACGTCAGACGTATTGAACTACATCATATTCAAGAAGTGATGTAAATCAAACATGGATTCTCAAAAGTTCCAGATATAACTTTTAGAAAATTTGAAAATCACAAGTCAGTTACATCAAAACGTATGACTTTTCGACACTTTATCCAATCATTCTTCACAATAAATAAAAAATTAAGCTTTTTGATATCATATACAACTGCTGCTACAATAAAAAAAATGAAACTGCGAAATTTGTATATCTTGTGCTTTGTAAAACAAAAAATCACTCTGATTGTAATATGGTATGCTGGAATTCCTCATTGACGAGTCACGGCGAGTGTGACCGGTCGGCAGGGGATGCTCACTCCTCCATGACACCTGATCCCACCTCTGATGTTTAGAGGTCCGTGTTTGCTCTGCTCCTATTTTGTATTGTTTAATGGACTTTTGAGCTTGAATACTGTTCGTTATCTCCATATATTTCATTTAGACCAGGTCTTCCAGCAATATGTTTTGAGCACTCATTGTGCTGCTTTACCGGCACAATTTATATCTATATTTGTATGAAACAGAATTTATTCAAAAACTTCTATATATGATATTGATTATCGAGTTCATTTCAAATTGTGTAATTCATCACATGAGTCCAGAGTAGCAGTTCCAGCTTGGGCTTAGGTGGTCAAGGAAAACTCTTGATGCTTAGATGACTGGTTTGCTTTTTGTATGTTAAGTTTAAGTTTTAACCAGGAAGAACTGCATTCTGCGGGAAACAATTATTATCTTTGAGAGTCTTTTTGATTTATCGGATACAAATTTAATATAATACTTTATTACAACAGCAATCAAAAAAGCAGCTGTTGTTTATCTATTATAATGTCCAGATTTATAACTGTGTAACAGATGAATTGTAATTGCAGTGTTACAAATAAATGACTCTTCCTTGGCCAGTGAATTTAACATTCGACGAAAAAACCCAAAGAGTCACTTGTTATCGTGTTTTAAACGATTTCCAATACAAATCCCCAACCTTTGTAATATTTAGTAGTATATTTTCCTCAATGTTACAACTTGACAGATCAAAGGAGGCAGAATGAAATACATTATTTGATTTGAATGTTTGTATTCTTCATTATGTATAGGGACTATATTGAACACTTGGACGATATTTTTGCAAGGCAATGGAGGAAATAGGTGCTAATGTAACTGTTAACACCTCCATTCTCTGTGGCAATAATTTCTGTAAAATTGCGAATTACATATGGATTATCATTTCACCTGTTATTTTCGTTTTCGGGTTGACCGGTGGATTTCTTATAATTTTAGTGCTTATTCGGATAAAATTCCAGCGATCACCGCTGATGTTCTTTATATTTATCCTAACTGTGACAGATATGACAATTTTGTGTGTCGGTCTTGTAAGAATTTGGATTTTAGAAACATGGAACTTCGACATTAGGTCATTATCAGAAGCATCGTGTAGGCTTTTGCATTTTCTTATCTATTTCCTGATGCAATATTCTTCATGGATACTTGTGTTTGCAACCTTAGAGCGTTTTATCAAATGCAGATATATAATGTATAAATCATGGGTTACAATGAAGAAATGTATCATTATAGTGATACTTCTATTCATCTTTCTTGCAGCTTTAAACTCACATTATTTTTGGACACATAGTTTTGTCATCACAGAAAACAATGTTTCTAGTTGCAATGTAACACCAGGGTATGAAACGTTTGATGACTGGTACATCAAAATTGACCTCTTTATCTTGTGTGTAATTCCATTTTGTATCATGCTTTCTCTGGACATAATAATCATGAAGAGTTTGAAAGCAGCACGTACATTCCGGCGATCTTCTGTAGCTGCACCACAGATGTACAGCAGGATGAAAAAGGTGGACCGAAAATTGACCAAAATGTCAGTCATCACTAACGTTTACTTTCTCGTATCTACACTACCCGTTTCCTTATTATTTATTCTGACTGTGTATCTTGACAGTGCAACTGAGCCTTTGTTTTCAATCTTTACATTGTGTGGAAGCATAGTATATACTTTACAATATAGTAACTATGCCGTGAACTACATATTTTACACAATTTATGATAAAAGGATCAGAAAACAGCTCACACGACTTTTAAGAATCGCCAAGCCTAGGTAATTTTTTTTTTACCTTTCTTATTTTTTCTTTGTCGAGATAGTATTTAAAAATATGACCATAAATGAAAAATTCCTTTGATTTCAATTTATACTATTAGTTTCCTTATTTAATTTTACTTATAAATTTGTTATGAAATACTAGAAAAGGAATAACTGTATTCCATGTAATATTGTCTTTGAGTAGTGAATGTTTTTGTAATACAACACCATTGATATTTTCAATTCTGTCCAAATAAAAATATTCAGATAACGAACAGTATTCAAGCTCCTAAATCCATTCAAACTATATAAATCAGGAGCAGAGTAAACACGGACCTCCAAAAACATCAGAAGTGGGATTAGGAGCCATGGAGGAGTAAGCATCCCCTGTCGACCGGTCACATCCGTCATGTGCTCCTTGTAATGATCGGGTAAACGGAAAAATCCGTAGAAATTTCATCGTGTAAATAATGTCCTATCAATTAATATAAAAAAGTCAGTCATTATTTGACCTAATGATACATTATATTTGCTGATAAGGTCATTATATCGACCATAGAACTTGCGAAATGATGACTTCAAACGAGACTGTTGATATCTTTGTTTCATCAACTTGTTGGTTAATAGCTTGCCTCCTTTTAAAAATTGATGTAGGTAGAACATGCTCTTGCGTATCGAATCATCTGGGAGACATAAAACCTAAATGTATGAAGAAAGATTTCTTAACTTCATCAAATTTGAAAATAAGGAATTATGTCGCATACATTCTTTCCATATAAAATAGTTACATTTTTTTGTAAACATTACAGATGTTAAAGAAATAATTTTGATAAGTACACGTAAGCCAAGAAATGCCTCGGGTAGAAAACTTTATATAATTTTATATTTATAGGAAGCAATTTCCTTTGAAATCTTAATGGAATGAAAAAATTGAAGATAACAAATATTGATCGATCTCACAAATCCTTTAAAAAATTGCAAATTATGAACAGAGCAAAAAAAACCCAGACCCCTTGGAAACACAAGAAGTGGGAACATGTGCCTCGAAGGTGTAAGTATCCCCTGTTCACCGGTCACACCCACTGTGAGCCCTATGTGTTGATTAGGTAAACGGAGTAATCTATAGACAAAATTAGTAGATCCAAACAATGACCTAACAATTGGTATGAAACATGTCAGTCAAAATACGACCAAACGACAGATTTTATTTTCAAACAAGGTCATTATAAGACCATAGAAATTATTGAAAGCCGTCACATCAATTTTCGGCAAGATAGTCTGTTAATTGAAAACACTAGAATTAGAAATATTAATTGCAACTAAATAATGACTCCCTAATAACAAGTAGTTAATATAAAAATATTTTCGAATTCGACTAATCTATGAGGTATTTCTATCATGAAGACATAAACCCTCTTTGAAAATAATAACATCGTCAGACACTATTGATTGAGTAATTCTAAGCTCGGGCAACAAGTTAACCTCATCAAAAAGAATCTGCACGCTTCAGATACCAAAAACTGGTAAAACTAATTTCACCTTTGAATTCAATCATGTTTTGTTTATTTGGAATTATGAAAATAATTTGACAGGTTTCGACAAAAAGGCAGCCAGTACACGCTACGGTCCAGTTCCATGGAGATGTCGCAGTCGTTTTCAAATGCCTCCACTAACGTATCCATTAGAAGTATTTCAGAGAATGTCAGATGATTCTTGTAACAAAACAAATACAAAAGAATTAAATGTTCTGTGAAGAAAATTAAAGAGGCACTTGTATATCTTTGATGGCAAAGTTTTTTGTTGAATAAACATATTTCTATATTTACTGAAATGATTCTGAAGTGCTTTTGATTGTGATAACCTTTCGATATAAACTATCAGAAAACAAATACCGACTAGACAACTTAGAATTGTTTGCTGAGTTGCAGGGAGGCGTAAATATGGGAAAGCGGAAGTTATATAGTCACGAATAATCAATATTTGATCTAACAGGTAGGAACAGTAAACTGTATTCCACTAGGGCAGCTTGATTTATTCTAGAAACACACATGATGATTTTGAGTGAGAAATATATATATTGCATTTCAATTTCAATATGTGAAATCTTAAGATGCAAATATTTATATAAAATATGAAGATAACGAACAGTAATAAAGCTCAAAAGTCCATGTAAACAATACAAATTGAAAGCAGAGCAATCACAGACTTCTAAAACCATCTGAGGTAGGATAAAGTGCCATGGAGGAGTGAGCATTCCTTGTCGACCGGTCATATCCGCCATATGCTACTTTTCATGATCGGCTAAACGAAAAATACCTAGACATTTCAGTGTGAAAATAATGGCCTAACAATTTGTATGACAACAATTCGACTTAACGATAGGTTGTATTTGCTAACAAGGCCATTGCATCGACCATAGAATTTCGCAAAATGACTTTAAATGAAATTGTTGGTATTCCTGTATCATCAGCTTATTTGTCTGTAGCTTGCCTCGTTTCAGAAATTCTTCGTACGTAGAGCATGCTCTTGTGCTCTTGCGTATCGAATCAACTAGTAGGCATAAACTCCATCTACAGTTAATAATGGTATATTACTTCATAAAAAGGGAAGTTGGCGTCATGTTTGATGTTGAAGTCATCACGTTTATCATAAAGCTTTGTTGACAGTTTGTCATTAATGTATTTCTCTATATGATATAAAACAAATATGTAAGATTTTGTGGTGTATTTTATTTCGAGTTCAAAGGGATATTTCGAATCAATGTGGGCAAGAAAATGTATATTGTTAATTGATAAAACGATATATCAAAATATCGAATTGAAGGCAACAGCTAGAGACTTCTTTCATGAGGAAGTTTTAAATAAATTTTGCTTAAAATGAATACAAAGACAGGTCTGCTAATCAAGGGGCGCAATTAGTACACATGGAAATTCCACCAGATTGTTAGAATGCCTGATCTCCAAAAAAATACATAAATAATGTCAATCAGAAACTCAAGCATCCTTTTAATATCAACTTTGGAGTACTTGTGTGTAGAATCATAATGATTTTTAACAAAATTGATTTTACAAATGACCAGTGACAAGGTATGTAAATATGAATTCCATTTTAATTGAAAAAAGAACTGTCCATGAAGTCAAAACGCTTGATCTTTAATTTATTGCAGTAGTATAAAAACAGAGGCCTAATAATTGGTATGAAATATGTCATTTAAAATGCGACCTTATGATGTAAGTAAGCAAGTAAGTAAGTAAATTTTATTTATAGTCGGACTATATACATTTAACAAAAAACATAAGCTTTAAAGCTCTTTTACCGACTAGTAACATAGAACATTTAGCACAAATAAAATGTACATATACATATAAGAGAAAACATACTTAAATTTCACGTAGAAAGAAGCACATGAAAACACAAGAATGGAACAAAAAAAAAACCTGGTAAGCACACATAAAAGAATACATAAAAGACACAACATAAGAAAACATACCCACGCACATGTATTTGCTAATATGGTCATTAAAACTACCATGGAATTTACGAAATACTTACTTTAAATGAGGTTGTTGAAATCCCTGTAACATCAACTTACATGTATTTGTCAGTAGCCTGCCTCAGGTTAAAAATTATTTGTATTCAGAACATGCGCTTGAGTATCGAATAAGTTAGGAGACATAAATATCATATCAGGTGAATATAGCATGTCAAACGTTACAATATTCGATATTTTCTACTTGTATTGTATAATTTTCTATTTGTATTCTATAATTTTTCATTTGCATTGTAAAAATTTTATTTGTATTCTATATTTTTTCATTTGTAATGTAAATTTTCCATTTGTATTGTATAATTTTCCATTTTTATTGTATAATTTCTATTTGTATTGTATAATTTTCCATATGTATTGTATAATTTTCCATTTGTATTGTATTATTTTCCTTCTGTATTGTAAATTTTTCCATTTGTATTATAAAATTATACAATATAAATGGAAATTTATTGAAAACAAATGAAAATAATACAATACAAATGAAAGATTATAGAATACAAATGAAAGATTATAGAATACGAATGAAAATTATACAATACAAATGAAAAATTATAGAATACAAATGGAAAATTATAGAATACAAATGGAAAAGATAGAATATTGCAACGTTTTACATACCATAGGTGAAAGTAGAATATTACTATATAAATATATATATATATAAATTGACGATGGAAAAAACTGAAATCATCTCCTTTGTCATACAGTTTAGTCGTTTTCGTCTTTAGTCTGTCAAACATCCAAATGGGAAACAGATGTGTCAGACTCTGTGATGTCTTCTATTTCGAGTTCGAGTTCCCTGGGATATATCGAGTCGACATATGAATGGTAGAACTGTTGTTAAATGATAAAACGATATACTAATATCTGAGTATCTAAATTTTGAAGGCCACAGCAAGCGTTTTTTTTTTTTTAAGTTTTTGAATGAGTTCTGCTTCATAGGAATATAAAAACTAATACAGCTTTCTTAAAATTTCTTTAACTTTAGGCCTACGCAGCGCTAAATTATCTCTCTGAATGAGCAGAAGAAGCTAGGGCCAACTCAGTCGTACCTGCAACTCTAGATCCATACAACAAGGAGTTTAAAATTTCATAGTGAGAATTTTTATCAATTTTCACAATGTTCGTAGTTTGCCTCATAGATTTTTCTGGAGTAAAGAAAAGAGAAAACAAAATATAATAAAATGAAGTCAACACAGGGGAATAAAGTTTACAATTTGGTTAGAAACTAAAAGCTCTTTAAAATCACGTACATTTGTCATTGTGGTCATTATTAAGAAAAATATAGCATTTGTTAACGAACTATATGGACAGCCCTTGTACATAGTAAATCAGATTTTCAAAAGTATCATGTATTTCCAACCTATGACAACCAAATGTTTGAGCAAGAATTATTCAAAGAGGTTGCGGGATAAAAATGAAGTCTTTAAGTAGATAATTTTACTATTTTAAATGTTGGTAGTAAGAATTAATTTAAAACAACAAATACCAGTATTATAAGGTCTGAGGAAACAACAGCCAAATAGTCAAACCACAGAAGTTATTGCCTTGCAAGAATATAAAAATAAAATCCTTCATTTTCCCCCATTTTTCTGTCAAATCAATCTTTTTAAAGAGGGAACTATGATTTATCTTTAATTTGACAATTCGGCGAGCCCCATTAACATAACCAAGCAAATATGTTTTGCCTTTTAGATGTCCAGATGTATTAAATATTTTGAAGGTTACATGAATTGGGAATCTACCCTCCAGACAGAGACTGAGAAAGCCAGAGGTTTTCTCCTTTTTTTATCAATTCATAATAATAAAAATGACTAAAACTGATTTAGCCAGAGGAGCTGAAATTTTCAGAAATTATGAGCGACTGACGACAAAAAATGATACACAGGAAAAACACATATCACAGACCTCAGATAACTAAGGAGAAATTCTTATTCATTTAAAATGGTAAGTTTATGTCCAGACAATCTGTCATATATCTTGACAATATTCATGCAATCTGTTGTGAATGAAAACACAAGCACGTTGATTTCTCACAAAGAACTCTACTTGGGATGACAAACGAAAATGGATGCGCTCAATATTTATTAAGTTTAGAAATTTCTTCAAATGAACTGAGCACCTTCATTTAAAAATCCTGAAACTTAAATTAAACAATTTATTCAGTAAATAAAAATCACTTTATATCTGCATGTCAGCATGGTGCTAAGATTTGTAAAGAACCTCTACTTGTTATTGAAATATTAACTTTCCTTGCAAGAGCGATCACAGTATCAAATGTCAGTTAAATTAAACAAAGTGCTTTATAAATGTCTTCTGTAAAGCTTTCTGTCTTATTAAAAATCCAACTCAGGTCCCTCAAATTCACAAAAATTTTCAGCAATTTCATTTAGTCTCTCGTTATACATATATTGTATATGTATTTTCTTCCTTTAGATATGCATTGTATGGGACCAAGCAATATTTATCACCAGGGCGGGACCGGTGTAAAATATAAAACTTTTAAAATAGCCTTAACCTCATACCTTACAGAATAAAAGGAAATGTCCAATCCTGTTTTTTTGTGAAAAAGTCAAATTAATATCCGTATAAAACATATCCTTAATTAGCAAGTTGGAAACTGGGGGATACCTCTGAATTTGTTACAAATCTTAAAGTTTTAATTCAATATATTTTCTGTATTTACATTTGGAAATAATCAAGAATTCTTGATATGACTGATTAAAAAAAGATTCTCTTATTGTAAAAGAAGACTTAAATTTTCATAGAAAGCAACCATCAACATGTCAATTTATATTGGTGTGTCTATTGATTGACAATACCTTTTTAAATTTTCAATGAAATATGGCCAATTTGTTAATGTTTTTTTTTTCTTGTAAAAGCATTTCTTTTGAAAAATATAAAATGATATATTAATTTCCAGACAATTTGGAAATTTTAAAGGAAGGAAAATACAGTTTTGCACTCAATGCCAGTTCTAAATTATTGAGGGGAGAAGAAACCTATGATTCAAGGGTTTATTTCAGGGTTATAAATTATTATTCATATATGACTTTGAAGTGTTCTCTCAATTAATTATAAAGTACAGTCATATTAATATTTAAAAAAAACAATATTAGGTTACTTACTTGGGTATTAGGCATACATATTACAATTTGTT